TGGAGTTCTGCTCAAGGATAAAGCAAGATGAAATCATTAATTTTTCAAATATCACTGGGACTAGGAACTGTTATACTAAGTGAGGTAATACAGACTCAAAAACAAACAGCATATGTTCTCCCTCATATGTGGATCCTAGCACCAAATCCTTATAAGTGAGTATGTATCCAGACATAATTACAGGACCTAGGATAATGAGAAGGAACCAGGGAGGTAAAGAAAAAGAAAGAATCTGAAAGAGAAGAACAGTAGGAAACAGGTGATATGGATAAAAATAAGGGAGATATGGATAAAAATGGGGTTATTTTAAGGGAAGGGAGGGTTATACAAGGAATCTTGGGGATAAAAGGAAAGAAGGAGTTCAAGGGAGATGGGACCACAGGAGAAGGGTATTATTAAGGGAGAAATGGGAAAAATGGGGGCACTTTAAATGGGGAAACCATGATGGAAGGGTTAGACAGTGCAAGAGATAAATAATACCTAGCTAGTTTTAAATAAAAGAGGGAACCAAATTAGTCCAACAACGTACTGACAAATTATACATACAACTAGCTCAAGGAACATAATATATGTCTAGTCAAGGTTTATCTGAGAAACTTTGGTCTTTGCCCAAGCTTTATCTACATAGCATATGATAATTAAAAGTACCAGACTGGTGGAACTAACCTTCTTGGATGTTTAACAGCCATACTTTGAGGCTGATACTAATTTGGTCAGAGGGACTTAAAGGACAGTTTTGCTCCTCGCCCTCCAAGGTTGACTAAGTTCCAGGGGACTATTGAGCATCTCTCAAAATGCCCCATAACTGTGGTGAGTCACCTGTCCTCTTGATCAAGGAGGCCATGGGGACCTCAACAGATGTACTTGAACCAGTGTCCAGTCTACTCAGAGGAGGGTCAACACAGAGGAAACATTTCCTTCAGATTGCCAAGTGAAGCCAGCCACAGTTGAGCAGGACCTTTGATGTATCTTCACATAGATGGAGTTAGTAAAAGAAAGGAGCCAGAGATTCCTCCCAAACCCATGTGACCCCTGAGGAACAGATCCTCAAACGACGTTAAGAGTAAAATAAATTGGTTTATCTGGGCCAACTGTATGGTCTTAAACACCCAGAAGGAAAATATAACCAAATATTAAAGGGATCAATACGATTCTTTAAGAGTCCATGTGTATAGCTAAAGGTTACATGACAAGAAACAATGCCAGGGTGGACCAAGAGATTCCCAGATAGTAACCCAGCATAGAACTGGGAAAATGAACAGCAGACCCCAATCTTATCTAAAGGAATATTGGCAACTGATTGCTGCTAGATGAGGAAAAGCTGATCTTCCTAAAACAAGGAACTCTGGTAGGCTGAATAGACTTGGGTGGATGGACAAGCACTGGGGAATGGATAGGGTCACTGACAACACAGTAGACAGTAACAGGGATGACAGAGTATATGGGCTCCAGTGGCTTGGGGGGCGGGTATGGGAGGGTGCCATTTAGGATGTAGGTATATAGATGAATAAGATTGTTTGGGATGTTCTGTATGAATACACAAAAAAATCAATAAATTTAAAAAATGAGTTATATTTGAGGAAGAAAAAATATTTGGGGAATAAACATTGAATAAAACTTAAAAAATATTTTATTTATTATTTTTATTTTATGTGTATGAGTGAGTGTATTGCCTGTATGTATGTAAGTGCACCCATGTCATGCAATGCCTGTGAAGGTCAGAAGAGGGTGTTGGGTTCCTCTGGAACTGGAGTTACAGATAGTTGCTAGCCAACATGTGGGTGCTGGGAATTGAACTCAGGTCCTCAAGAGCAGCTAGTGCTCTTAAGCACTGTGCTATCTCTCCAGTCCCATAAACATATCTTATTTATTTATTTATTTATTTATTTATTTATTTATTTTTATTTATTTATTTATTTATTTTTGGTTTTTTGAGAGAGTCTTCCTGTAGCCCCAGCTGGCCTGGAACTCACTATGTAGACCAGGCGGGTCTTGAACTCACAGAGATACGCCTGCCTCTGCCTCCCAAGTGCTGGTATTAAAGGTATGCCAAACATAAATATTTAAAAGATAGTTTGACTACATGTACATTTAACAAAGCATCAGTAAGTAGTACATTACCTTGTAGGGCTTGAACCTCCCTTCCCCAGCTTTTTTTTTTTTTTTTTTTTTAAGACATAGTCTCACTGTGTAGCCCCAACTGACCTAAAACTCACTTTGGTCTCAGGCTGGTTTCAAACTCACAGATCCACTTGCCTCTGTCTCCCAAGCACTGGGATTAAAGGTGTATGCTACCATGCCAGGCAACTTCCCTTGCTTTACAGCAGGTTTGCTGTATTATCAGACATGTGCTCCCTTCCCATCAAGTGGGCCTCAAAACTAATCAGAATGTGGTTACTCCCAAAAATGGTCATGCCACTATTACACCAGTGGGCATATCTTGCCTGGCAGCTCAGTATTGTAGCACACAGGATTCATAGATGGGTAGGACCACTGATGACTTTTCTCCCCTAGCAGCCTGCATAGCACCTTCTGGCACTATAAACATTAGCCAGCAGGGAGGAAATCTCCAGATCAGTTCCAGCATGATTTCTCTGTGTTCTGTATATAGCCACAGTGTGTTATGTCTTCAACAATAGGATCTCAACATCTGGTTCTGGTGGGCAGCCAAAAGCAATGGCAATAGTGTGTAATGTAATGCTTTTGTTTGCTTTTATGTGTATGAGTATTTTGCCTGAATGTGTGTATTACAGGAGCCTCTGGGAGCTGCCTGGACAACAACTCAAAGAAGTCTACCTCAGCCAACACTAAGCCCATGCTTTCAAAATGACGGCCAGAGAGCTGCTGAGCCAGAATCCCTGAGATATTGTTATAAGACTCCTCTCTACCCTCTTCTTCTCACAGACTGGCAGGCTTCGTTGGTCAGTGGGAGAAACTCCTTGAGCACTCATGGTTTCCCCTGCTTGGAATGCTCTTCCCCATATCTCCTGGCCCACCGCCTCACCTCCTTCAGGGTGGTGCTCAAAAACTACTTTGTCTGTGTAGTCTTGTTTGTTTTTATGTGTATGAGTATTTTGCCTGAATGTGTATATGTGCACCATGTGGGTACAATGCCCATGGAGGCCAAAAAAGAACATTGGATCTCATGGAACTGGAGTTACAGATATTTGGTAGCTGTCCTATGGTATCTGGGAACCACACTCCAGTCCTCTTCAAGAGCAGCCAGTGCTCTT